ATTATATTCCATTAGTAAATTGGCAGGATATATTCAATTCCTTTTGCTTGCAATGAAATTCATTAGCTTGTCAAAATATGACCTTGGCCATTTCCAAATAAGTAAATGAAATTTAGTGCTTCAGCTATAACCATAGAAAACTCTTACTTGGAAGAATTAACAAATGGCTGAATGCCATTATAAATTGAAGGATGCCACTCAAACTTAATTCAAATGAAGTTAGACTCCTAGGATGATGTATATTAGGACCAGGAGCAACGTGAAATGTAGGTCTGAGACATGCAGGACCCAACCATCATTGCTGTTTCATCCACAGTAGTATTTTAGCACTACTTTTGCTTTTTGCCTACAATATTCCAGTTATTTCAGAAATTCAATTATGTGATGAGAAATCTGCCTGTGATTCCCACTGAAAATCTACTCTAATGTATTGTATACCCATATGTCTTTTAATAGTATGAAGTATCTCCTCTCATCGCTCTTTGTATATGTAGATAATCTAATCACTCTTAGCTTCCTATACAAAGTGATTTTCTACTACCAAATATTTCGTTATGCACGAAGTACAAAGTTGAAATAGCACCCCTGTTTTTCTGAGCTTTGACTGCTTGAGGAAGAATCTATTACCCACTAATTTTTTGCCATTGCAAGAATTTTTGCTTTCCTGGTCTCTGCCAGATTTCAAATGTTTACAGGATCATACAGTTTGAAGCACGATTTCTTTCACTAAAAATATTAATAACTGTGTTTGTCCACATTCATGTTAAATTCTTTAGGCCTACATAACCTCAGAAAATGGTCTTTTAAAATCCTTTTTGTCTTATAGATATCCTATCATCATTCCTCTACTCTGCATGAGAAGTTTTCACATCTTGCTTCCATAGTTCTAGCTCTTCCATCTCATTACCCATGTTTCCTGCATAAGTCCACAAACAATTTTTCCCTTCTGACCTCACAGTGTTTTTAAGTCAATTAAATTTAGCCAACCTAATCAATTCTTTCATCCACGGTCATGCTTTCTTTTCCCCCCCTGCTGTCCACTATCTTATTCTCTAGTATAGCCTTTTATCTGACTACAGCCTCATTTACATTTTTTTCCTTTTATTTGTTAACAGCAGTTGTTGAGATAGCATATGTCTCTCAGACACAAGATGTCTCCTGTAACCTAGATGGATGATTTATCTATTTTTGTAGCCCTGGTTGCTGAAGGTCAGTGCTCCAGACAGTCAGGTGCAAACCCTCCCCTGAGAACTGAGCTCTTTCTGGGAACACTTCCTGAAAGTAAAGCCCTGAAGTCCCTAAGTAGAGTTTCCTAAGCAGGGTTTTGCTGTGTTTTTGGCCACAGTTGGCCTGCACAAGGCATTTTTATCTATCATGTCACGTGGCGAAACAGTTCATTAATACTTTCACAGCAATCGTCAGTTTATGCTTTTTCTTGCATTTTTGAATCTGCAGGATTATGGACTTGCTTTCATTCTGAGTTAGAAGTTACAGGATATCAGGGCTCATGTCTTAAAACCTGCTTTGGTGTATCAAAGGTGTGGGTGGGAATGAAACTCCTAATTGCAAGTGACCAGAGCATTAGGGACTCAACGAAATGTCTAAACTATTTGGCACTGTTTGAAAACCCCAGACTGTGCTTTATCCCATGAGGAAGCATCTCAGTGCCCTGCAAAACAAACCAGTGTGCCTTATTTTTCCCATCCATGAGTGGACAGTATTGCCCATGCATTTTTTCAGAGCATCTAGGGCATAAATACTCTGCATACTTGGCATGTGTCATTATAATAGCATTTGGATAGCCACCCATTAGTATCTTTCCTTTGATGATCAAGCTCTTAATAGGAGTATAAAAGCGTAGATTCAGTTTTCAATCTGCTACATTTTTTATTTCTAAATAATTGTATTTATAACACATTCAATGCCAAGATGAATCACAGCTGCAATCTCTGGGCGTGTGAGTTCCTGCTCCCGTTGTGCATTTTGTGCTCCTCGCCAAACTCACAGCCCCTGTCCCATTACAACACCCCCAATTAAAAGATCCCTGGTAAGGGAGTCTGTAGGAGGGAGTGCCACTGGACGTAGATTTTCCTGGAGCTCAAGGGCTTCTCCTATTTTTTGTGACTGTGAAGACAAGGAGGAGTTTACTAAAATGAGAGCTCTATTTCCAATATGGGAGCCAGCTTTTGTGGTAGGGCTGTAACCATGGTGACCATGCTGATCCCTTAGGTGAGGGCTAGATCCCACTCTGCCAGGACTACCTAATCTCTGTGGGGCTATGCCTGTGAGACAGAACTTCAGATGATGCTGAGTGATAATAAAATAAAATCTTTATTTTTAATAGATGGACAAAACAGACCCAAAACCAGACAGTATTTTCCTGAAATGCATGGGCACTATTGAATACAACACAAATGAAGTCAAAACATATATATCTATATTATGCTTCCTATCTGCTTCATTAAGTATAGTCTTAATATAACATTTCTGACACGGACAAAAATATACCTTTTTTTTAACAACAGCCACAAATACTGCCCTGATTAATAGCAGACTTACAATAACTTACTAACTGCACATGGAACTTGATCAATACAGTTGAAGGGCAGAAGGAAAAATTAATAACAGCTTTTTTCCTATGATACTTTTATTTGAAATCCTAAATTGTTGTACTATATGAAAATAAAAGACTAAATCTGACTTTTACTTTATTTGATCCACTTAATGTTTACATTCAGTTTAGGTTCACAAAAGTATTTTTTTATTTATAATACATATACCATCCCATTTGCACAAATATAGATGAAATCATAACTTTTTTGACATGTCAGCTATGTTTTTAACCTTGATTTTATGAAAACATCTCATGCAAAAGAGGTAAAAATCCCTGTCAAATAAATGTTATTCACAAATGCTAAGAACATGAAAATAAAATGCATGATTGTGATATGAATATTTTATCTAGACATTGAAGGCTCAGAAACAACCACCTCAGTGCCTGAAAATGAGCTGTTTGCTTCACTGATTATAGATCCAATTTACTGCACAGTACTACTGTCTACAAATTGTAAAAGTGAAGAAGGAGTGTCTGATAATTCCTCTGAAAATAAAATCTACTTGAAGAAACACATTCTGTTGGCATTTTTCTTGTGGAAGTAACTTAGTTGTATTTTGTTCCTTTTTTTTTTTTTAAACCCACATCTATCAATCACAGATGTAACCTTTGGTTATATGAACAGCTCTGTACAAATTTAATGGTAGGAAAGCTGAACTAAGGCAAATAAAACCTATAAACAGACTTTGCATGGGGCTATTTAGTTTAGCTTTTGTAGTCATCCCATCCACTATACAGCCCACCACCGCAACCATGGCAGACATTGTTGGACTTGCACAAAGACACACACACAGAATTGGTATGTGGAAAGCAGGATTGGTATATGGTCACAGGATAAACAGATCACTTCTCTCCTTTGCATGATAAAGCTTCCATGGTATGCTATATGAAAAAGTGCAATAACTTCAGTCTCTGCAGAGAGTACTGAAAAACTTTATTGGAACCATTTTTCACACAGGGAATGCGTAGTTCTATCTGGGCAGGAATAGTGTGCAAAACCACACCAATTTAAAAAATTTTCTGTAGGATAAAAATGTAAAATATTCTAATAATGTTGAAAGCATCTGGGTTGAAATTTTTGGACTAACACCTTTATTTTTTTCACTTACTTTTTTTGAGCATTATAGAAACATTTACATTTTTATCGCAACAAGGGAATATAAAAGAAAAAGATTTTTATTTTTCCATCAAAATGTCTCAATATAAAAATGTTGCAGTACTCAAAGCATCTGGTCACTATGCAGTTTCTCATAGTTAAATTCTAGCAATTCCTGGATAAAACTTAGGTAAGAGAATATTTTTTTAGGAAGACCTAGAGGTGACTGTAAAATGGAATTCTCTAACTTAACTTGGAACTGCAGCGTAAGGCATTGGCTATGTAAGCAGGCAAAGCCGTGGATTGATATCTTCTTGTAAGAAGGGATTTAGGCTAGAGGATCTGGGTAGGAAATGGACAATAATTCAGCAGTGGCTCTGTTCTCCCCCTCTTTTTCCTATACAATCTCTTTTCTCATCTCTCCGCTGTAGTTCATGGGGGAACGAATACTGCTGGGCTTATGTTTGGTTTGTGATACCCAGCACCCTGAATTTTGTAGTTGGCTTGTTCACTCACCTTGCAGGAATTATTAGTTTCTTTGCTATATTGGCTCTTGTGGGTTTTTAGTGCAGATTCTGATTTTGATTCCCTCCACCCAGAGCACACTCAATATTTGTTAGCACAGTAGTACTGCAGGTCACAATGCATATTCAGAACTGAGATGCAGTGTTATTTTTAAATGCAGTGCAAGGAAAAATAATCAACATATCTAAAATTAATTTTTTCTACATATAAAATATATATATGCTGTTAAGACTCCACAAAAGGAGCAAAAACATACCTAAGAATTCAGCCTTGTGAAAGCTTATGTCAACACTGAATGCACAAGTTGATGGCTTCTTCCTTTAGCAGCAAAACCTATTCTTACATCTACTACCCTCTAGTATAGCTCCTCGTGCTGTGAGTGTTAAAAAAAGACATTTCAGCAGTGACCAGCAACACGAGGATGTCTGGATTTCAATGGAACATTTTGTGTCATGCGCAGAGTTTAAAAAGAATTATTGGAGCATAACTCTTAACTGTACAGAAATCTAGCTACTAGAGCTCCCACTGTGAAAGGCACGTACCAATGGGGACAGACACAATCATCTTGGCCGTGGGCAAATGGAAACGATGTTGCGTGTTCCCTGCCAGCCAGGGCAAAGACAGGAGAGGCCTCATCTCCCTGCTTTGCTGCCTCTGGCCATTCATGAGAGAAGTCTTGTCAGCATCCGGCCACTGCTGATGCTCCGCAGCATTACTGTGGTGGCCAGGAGGACAGACAGGATGAAGGAGTCCAGCATTTAGTGGAAGACACCACTGTGACTTTCGCTATGCTTGTGGTTTCAGCTTTCCTCTGACTTCCTCTCCAAGCTGCTTTTAGAGGCAGACACTTACAGATGTGGAAAACTGTCCAACAAGCCTGTGTTTTGAAATATTTTTGAGAAAGAGTGATTTTCTATGGAAAATCTACACTTTCCAGAGTAATCCCAGCAAGACCACACCAAAAGACTTTTCGATAACTTAGAGAAGACTTTTTTCAGTATGTGAAAATGTCTTTTCAAGCCTTCTTGACTCTCCTTACTTTTCAATATTTATTCCATTGGTGCAGTTGCTTCATGTCAGAGTGCTTTGCTCAGTGTTCATTTTGATGATAACTCAAGATAAGACTTCTTTTCTCAACATTGAAAAATTCTATCTAGTTTATCAGGGGTTTTTTATAAGAATCATTTTTAACAAGCTGAATTTCAACTCCAATTATTGCTTTAAGAATTTTTGAGACAGCCACTAACCACAAGAAAACAAAGAACACCTATATTAACACACTTTGCTTAAGGTTGTCTTGCATTAGGTACAACAGAATTTTAAACTGGTGAATTAATTTTAACTTTTTTTAAATTAATATATGATGTTTAGCACTCCCGTACGGTATTTATTACTATTTGTGCATTTTGCTGTCTCATACAAATAATAAAATACTAGATTGTGTTATTTAAATTTCTTTATGAGAAAAAAAATGACCAGATCAAAACTCCAAGGAAGTTATCTATCTGTCTTTGCTCAAGCAACTAGCTCTTTAGTGATAAATCACTTCCAGCTGTGACAATATATTTTCACTTAGTACCAATAAAATGTTGACTGATAATATTTCAGAGTGACTGTATTATAATCTCTTCATATGATATCCTAGCTAAATAGCTGTTGCACATTTTCTGCTACATGTATTTTCAATTGTAAATATTTTTTTAATTGCACAGTATATAGTTCTGGGTGCAAAGAATGGGATCTGAGTGTATATTTTGGTAAAAGCTCTATGAACTAATCCAACATGTTAGATAATAACAGAAAAGAGTTTCTCTCATGCTCCTGCTCCTAGAAACAACTTGAATGTGCAGCGGTATTTTATTCCCAATTCTTCCTTTTCTTCCGATAAAATGCCTCTTACTGTTCTTTGTAGAATATCCTATTTCTCGTTATTTTGCCTGTGGCTACCAGATTTTTTTAATTATCTTCAGTGTTGGACAGCTCTGGACTTGAATCAACGTAGTTGAAGGCTTCCTTGTTCGTGAAAGTTGAGCTCAAAGTTAGACTGTGTCGTGGATTCACAGGTGCAAGTTCATTTAGTACAATATTGTCACTTTTTACAAGAGTCGCTTTGTCCATGTGTTCTCTACTGTACCTGGCAACAACAGCATCAAGGAAGTCCAGCTTTGGTGGCAAAGTCCCACTTTCAAATAAGTATTTGGCTAAGTAAGAGACCATAACATTAGTAAGGAAGGAGGTGAGCATAGCAAGTGTTTTAAATGGGAATCGCTGGACATAGATATTATTATCATCTTGATACCAGCCAGGATAGTAGATCAAGGGCTGAAGGTAGAGGTACGGTTCTCCTCCAGTTATTCTGAGAACAAGGCCAAATAAGTATCCTGCAATGGCACCATAGGTGTTGGTTCCTTTAATAAATAACACACACAGGAGCTGAGGGAATATGATGATATATACGAGGTCAGAGCTGAGGTACCACAGGCCGTACACTGATGAAGCCAGCAGTGCCATTGCTGTTGCTGATGCTCCAAACAGAAGAACAGTGATTCTCATGACCCACACAATTTCCCTGTCTGAAGCCTGCAAAAGAAGGGCAGTGTTAGGTGGTTTTTTTCATGATGAGACATGTATGCCTACATTTATGCACAGTTAATATAAGACGCTGCATTGTAAGAGGAAATTTTGCATGATTCATTCTATAATATTTACAAAGTCATATCTCTATCTCCACCTCAAACTCAGGAAAAAAAACCCCAAGGGTTATGGTTGCCATTCCAAAAGTCATTAATTTTTGAACACAAGGGAAAATTTGAGAATGTGTCAAAGAGAAAAAGCAAAAGTGTTAGAAATAACCATTAGAAAGAAACACAATATGGCTCAACTAGGAAAATAACTGTCAGCATCAGAATTTCTTCTTCTCCATTTCCTAAGAAAAACTCCAACTCACTAGACCATTTTGTTATCAAATGACTTCCTGATAAATGAATAATTAGAAAAAATGTCTCATTTTGTTAAGGATTTAAGTAAAACTTATGATGCAGTGATAGTAATTAGCTCTTTGGATAAACTGCAGTGCCATGAAAACTCTTGAAAGCTGCTCTTCCCAAGCTGGCTTTTTACCTCCATCATCGGTCACAACCATAAATATTTTTATGACTTTCAGTTTGTTCAATAAACTGTTAGGAATTAAATGACATCCTTTTCCTAGGGAGGAACATGAAAGAGGTGTTTCATTAGGAAATTACACCACAGTCAATCACCTAAAATTTTCTCTAAAAATAGAAACAAAAATGTTATCTCACATTTTGCCGAAAGGAAAGCTGGTAAATGTTCCGAGCAAACATAGAACTTGCTGATAAAATTGAAGAATCAGCTGAGGACATCACTGCAGCAGACACAGCGCCGAGGCCAAAGAATGAGATATAGACTGGGCAAAGGTACTGGAGCACGATCGGTAAAATCATATCTGCTTCTTTTTTACTCTTGGGGTCAGGGACACCATAATCAGTCTGGTTCCAAGCTACAATATGGACACAGGTATGTTATTAGTAACATTAGTGGTCATCGGCTACAGCATCGCTTGAATTCATTTCTAGTGAGCTATTCATACTGCCACACGTTCATTCACATTCAATACCCAAACTGTTAGCAGGACCAGACCAACACTTTTCAGAGAGACAGCATCCCACTGATTTCTGTTAGGCAGATTTAATTCTGCTCAGTATTTTTTCTTATCTCTAAAATAAGTCTCACCATAGCCTGGGGTTATCCAGAAGAAATTTTAATATTAAAACTTTGCAATGCTTGTAAATGTAATTTTCTTCAAAACAAATCTGGTGTCCATGTTCCTTAGTGATGTGTTTAACTACCCTCCTGGATTACAGACAGGGCTCAAAGCCATGTGTTAAACATTTCTATCAGTTTAGCTACAAGGTCACTGCGATGGGGACAACTTTTACTATGACAAAGGTCTTGACAAGGATATCTTGGTCAAGATAAGAAATTCCTGATAAATCATAGAATCATTTATGTTGGAAAACACCTTTGAGATCATTGAGTCCAACCGTCACCCTAGCACTGCAAAGACCACCGCTAAATCATGATCCCAAATGCCATATCTACACGTCTTTTAAATACCTCCAGGGATGATGAATACACCCTGTGCAGCCTGCTCCAAACAAGCCTGCTTGACAAACCATTTGGTGAAGAAATTTTTCCTGATATCCAATCTACACCTCCCCTGGTGCAACTCAAGGCCATTTCTTCTCATCCTGTCACTTGTTACTTGGGAGAAGAGACCAACCTGCACTTTGTTACAACCTCCTTTCAGGTAGTTCTAGAGATCAATATAGTCTCCCCTCAGACTCCTTTTCTGCAGGCTAAACAATCCCAGCTCCCTCAGTCACTCACCATTATTACTGTTAGGACCAAATAAAAGTACCACAATCTAACTCAAACATTGAATAGAGATATTATGTCTGTAGATATCTATAATGTGCAAAATGATTTCATTTCACCCACTGGGGTAGGAGTACTTTCCTTTTGGAGAAATATTCTATAATGTTATTTTTATGTGTAGTTTCCTTCCCATAAAGAATTCATGAGTTGATTAACAGTGCCACCTGACTATCTAACCTATATGTCACCTATATCTAACATAAGCTTTGTTTTCTCAAACTTATTGCACTATTCATTTTACATTTATTTTACTACTGATTTTTAATCATTTACCTGTAGATGCTCCAATTGCACCAATGAGTACTGCAGGAATAGCCATCACAAGACAGCCAAAAGCAGCCAGGAATGACAGAACTTGAGCATATGTGGCAGAAGATGAGGAAAGAACTCGCTGGAAATATGCTTGCCATGGTATTCCTCCTAATGTCTGCAAACACAACAGGCAGAATGCTGTCATTGGGAGCTAAATGGATTTTTTTGCTATCACCATATAGAAAGCATGTAGAAGCATCACTTGAATGCTGAAAGCCATGTTGCTACTTTTTAATTTATTTAGTCAGTAATAACTGCAACTTTCATTCTCACAAGAAATGTCAATTTAAGTCCACTTAAATTCCATTCTTTTAGACAAGTTATTTTTTTGTACGATTAGAAGCAACACTTTGTGCTCACATAGTCTCTGTAACCCCCAAATACTTAATAAAGTCTTACAAAAAGTTATAAGATACTATTGTCGTATTTCATATTTGAAGAATTTGCCTCCAATACCCTTCTCCCATCAAAATTAGATTGGACTCTCCGATAGGATTTGAAAGCAAGAGTTTATCTTCCTTTGCAAATGCATGTGGTCATTTGAACAAGGCAAGATGTTCTGTATACAGCGAACTCAAGAATCTGAAAAATTATTCTCCCACTGCCTTAAGTAAATACAATAAAAATAGAAATTGAAGACAGAGCAGTAAAAGCAAGTTTTCTTTTATGGTAGAAACCCTTATCTTTTATTTCGTTATATAACAGTGAAGATCTTGATGAGACAAAATTATTTCTGCAAAATACAACACAGGAGAGTATTAGCAAAGGTTAAAAAACCAAGTGCTTACAATTCTGCCTTGAGAGTAGGATTTGAACAGTCTCCACTAAATAAAAAAGTGTCTGTTACTAAACAGCATGGAAAGAAAACCCAGCAAAGTGCTCACTAACTGGACACTGTCCAGTTCTACACACTAAATGAGGTAGGAGGTATTTGGAGCAAATATTGTGTATACAGGTGTTTCATGTATGTTTCATGCACATATAGGGACTAACAATGTTTCAGAGACAAATCTGGTTTTGACTTGCTATTTATGACTGTTTTCCTTTGCTGACTTAATAATCCTTTAACAAAGCTTTCCAAGGATGTGCAAATTTCTTGAGCTATAATGAAACAAACAAGATGAAACGAAAATGTGTCACAATTTGGCAACATCAGAGCTTTTCTTTGGTCATCAACAGAGATGAAACCTTCAGGTTTACCAGAGAGAATACAGCCACTTGAGCTAATGCCATACTTTGAATCTCTTAGAGAAAGCTGGATAAAATAATGTATTTTAATAGCCCAATTATCAGAAAACCCTAAAGATTTTTTTATTGAGATGATTTAAAAAAAAGACAGAGAAGGTAATCCCGAAGTACAATATGATAATAAAACCAGTTCAGATTTGCATAGGGACACTGAGAATGGAAAATGTTAGCATGTGTTTCTAGATCTTCTAATGGAAAGTACTTAATAACCACTGATCCCACGTGTAATACATAGTTATTAAATAACAAAAGCCCTTGGTTCATTCTGGGATGTGTGCATGTATGAATTCATCCATCCTGCCATCCATCTCTGCACAGCTTTTTCTACTTCACCTATATCTAAGGCATATTTGATCATTTGTATAACATATTTATTGCCTTCTGCAATATATAAATTCCTCTGCCAACAATGACATCAGTTAAGTATTAGCTGCACACTTTTATTTAATTTTAACACGTCAACTCTTTCAACCTGATGATATCTAAATTGCATTCCTGGCAATGATGACTGATATGTCACTGAAATCATTCAAATGTGCAGAAAGATTGAGCAGGAGTCAAGAGGGTTTCAGTTTGCTGGAAACTCTTAATTAAGCTCTATTACTTCCAGTTGTCACAGTAACACAGTGTGAATGTATAAATGCTTCATTCCTTCATACAAGTCACCACTTACCAGTAAAAAGAAATTGTCCAACCATGTGTAAATGTCAAGTGAGTTGATAGATCCAAGCCAAGGTGCTTGGTACACCTGGTGCACAGCTGTGAGCCCAATGTCTGTTACTGCAGGATGGGACATCGCAAAGGGGACACTGATCCACTGTAACCAAAGAGAAACACTGTTCATGTCTAAAGAAGACATTCTAAATTTGTGAAATGTTGATATTAACCCTGATCTAGCCAAACTGCCACACTGACTTGCAGTAAAGTCGAGTTATGTGCTGGAGGAACATCTCTGAAATCCAGAGAGCTTGGTAGTGGATAGCTTACGTCTCTCCTGGAGACTGTGAGAAGAGAATTAATCAATGTAAATCACAAAATCAGCAGGGAGGACAAATTTATACATCTTTGTTTTATTTTCCCTGAACTCCTCATATATTCTTTACACTCTTTCCTGGACCAGACAGTAGAGAGATATTTACATATAAACTTGCATGTAATAGCATCAGGATTTGCCAGTTTACAAGCATGAGACATCACACCTGAAGGCTTGGGAATTTGTTCGTAATTCAGTACAAAACTATATCACGACAAGAGAGTAGTGATGTTGGCGCAACCCCAACTGTCTTCCTCCAAAAATCTCATTAGCCCAGTGTTACATCACTTTTCTGCCTTGAGGGTGTTTTCTTGGGATCTCCTGACCATTTTCAGTCTCTCTCTTTTTTTATCTATGCCAAAAAAACCTTTCCCAGAGATAGTTTCTGCCAGAAGGTCCATTTCCTTCTCCAACTGGCTTTTTGTGCATTTACTTGCCAACTTGTGTTGCAATGGTATAACTCCCTTTCTATGGAGAAGAAAATCAGCAGCTTCTACTGAGATGAAAATCAGGCTTTGTGCTATATGGGCTAGACCATCACAAGCATAGCATCGTTAAGGATCCAATGATATCCAAAACCACACAGATTGCTACAATTCAGCTGATCACAGTTAAGTATATGGGGTCAACAGGAGCAAGGAAGGGAAAAATAAACATCTTTCTCTAATTTGTTGCACAATTACTGCAATAATGTATGAAGAATATTTTGCAGCACTGCCTGTTATTCTAGCAGTTTAACACATACCATAGGATTCTGTTCTGCTACATGTTAAACTTCAATTTAAGCAGTTGGGTAGAAAGATTCCCTTCTCACTCCATGCTTGAGCTTGAAAGTTCACCAAAATGTTTCAACTGTCTCCAAGATATTTTGAGGGAAAAATAAATATATTTTCAAAATTAATGGATATTAACACTGCTCTTACTGAGAAATTAATGGGGAACAAGGATGTCAAAGGATTTTTTTATTCTCGTTTCTGAATCTCAAGCATGTCCGACTGATGAGCTTCTGAACAGTTGTAGTTTGACCATACTCCACTGGGATTTTCAGTGGGGTAAATCTCTGAAAGTCTCTCTGGACTCTGCATGCCACAACCCAGGATTTAGTAGGTACTGTATTGCAAATGCATTATGAGCTTTTGTAAGCCATTCCAGTTTCTGACAGTAACCTAGCTTTTTGTGGTCTCGAGGACTACCTTTACAGCAGTAAATAAAACAAATCAAGACACTTTCTCTGGCCCTGGAGTTCACTGGCATGTCATGGTTTACATCCATACATTTAGACTCCTTTTCCTGGCAAAAATGACAAACCTCAACTGTTTCTGGGAATTATCTGGGAAAATAGAGAGTACAGAATGGGGAATTAATAATACAGATGAGATGAAGTCAGTAAATAGTGAGGATACAGTCAAGGAAAGTCTCACCAGGCAAGATAAAGACAAAGAGATGAGAACTCTAGATGTGGATACAAGAGAGTGAGGAAGGTAGAAGAGACACTACATGAGATTGTAAAGAGAAAACCAAGGATGTACATATGGCTGGGGTAGAGGTTATTGAAACATAAGGAAGAAGCTGTGTCTGAAATGAGGAGTCAGGGTAGGGAACAGAAGTGATTATAGCAAGTGTTTCCTCCTGGGTAAGGAGCAGGAGAGAAACCAGACATTAGAGGAATCAGCAGTAAAGCTCTGCACCAGTGGGAATAAAAACTGCTCCAGGGCCTGCAGGAGAAGCTGGGATAAGTGTAACTGTGCCATCTTCTGCTGTGACATCTCCTGTGAAAGTATTCCATCTCATCTAAAACTGCCTGACCATTTAGATACCAAGTCTTCCAGCCTCACTGATGACACTCTCAAGTTCATGAATGTGGTTTATTCTACAGTTGTATTATTATTGACTATTTCAAATGGGAAATTACATAAAGAGCCCAACCTGAACTGAAAGAACACCATAAAGCTACAGATCCAACCATTTAGAAGACTGCTATACAACCTTCATTTGCTTTTTCCTGTCTGTCAGTTTCATGCTGATTTTAATGTTGTTATTCCCATGGGATCAGCGTCTTTAGCAGTTCAGAGGTTGATCTCACTGAAGAAGCATTTTGATTTATCTAAAATGTTGGGAATTTTTGTAATGCATTCCATCTGTAGAAAATGAATGTTTCAAAAAATATTAACCTTCATGTTAGGGAAGGAGACAGTATTTTCCTTACTATATAGGTGAAGAACAGAGGTATGAGGAAAGAAGATCTGGAATAACTTCTCATTTGACTTGGCCAGCTGGAACTTTGATTTGCTTTTTCAGAGTATTTAGCACCATTTCCATTAAGTCAGTTACAAGAGGGAACACTCAGCATTTCTGCAAGTAAGGCCATAGCCCTCACAGTAAGATACCACAGAGTGAGGACACACACAGAGCTGGTTAGTGACCACCTGTGTGAGCACTGGGTAAACCAATTTCCCTAGAGCTGCACAAGAGCTCTGCTGAAAGTACAGAAAGAACTTCAAGTCCCCAAAGTGCTGTTTGGCTCCTTCACACTGAGCCACCTCATTTATTTTAGGCTCTCTCAGTTCTCTGCACACCTGTGACTATCTATTACTGCCACTGGCAAACAAAGACAGCAGCTGCTTTGATTGCACCCTAGTGATCTGGGTCCTGTTACATTGGTGTTTTTCAGTGTGGGTCTTAAAGAACAGCACTAAATAAAAGGCTGCCCACTATCATTAGCAGCTGATGAGAGGATATTCATACTACCATATTAAAACAGCCAAGACATCCGGTAAAACCTCCTGTGTTATGGTCACCAAGGATGGTGGAGGGAAATTAGGAAAAACCCAAGAAAGTTAGCTAAGTTAACAGGAGGTTAACTAAGCTGCATGAGTAGGTAACAACCAGAGAAAAGAGAGGCAGGAGAGTATCAGCTCTGCAGGTCCAATGCCAGTATTTCAGGCATAGGACTGCTTCCTATGTCTAATGCTTTCTTCCAGTGCCTGTGTCACAGTCCCATGGACAGACAGGGAAGGAGTCAGCTCCAGTCCTACTCGTAGGAAAAAAAAGCCAAAGAAACAGACCTCTTGGGCAACATTATTTTCGAAGCACAGACTGTACCTTAAGGCAAATGCAGACTCTTAAAGTCAGTTTCCACTATGAGTGAAGATATTCCTTTTCCATGCTTTCAGTGAAGAAAGTTCCAAAACTAAAACTGAGCAATAGGTCTCAGCAATCATCTTAATGCTCAGGGCAAAATTCTCAACAAAAAAGGAAAAAAAGCACCAAACTTACCAGTCCCAGGAAGATGCAGAAGAGTTGAACTACATCAGTGTAGGCCACAGAATAAAGCCCACCCACAAGTGTGTACATAGTTGCAATCAGGGCAGAAATAATAACTGAAATATTGACATTAATGTCAATGATCACACTTATAGTTGCACCTAAGGGGAAAACCAAAGTACTGTGTGTTAGTGTAAGTCTGATGAGAAGGTACACCTTTGTTAAGTTGCATATATAGGTGCTGGTCTGACACTTAATACTCATGGCTAGGCTTCGCGAACGAAGATTTGGGAGACACTTAATAACAGTACTAATATATTCCCCCCTCTGTACACCCCTTCTGCACCTTTGAAGGGAGTGGTAAAAGGGATGTTCCTGTTGGTCCAAGTTTAGCATCTGTCATTTTGCAGGTTCTTAAGAAAATGAGGACAGAAGGCTCCCAACAGCCCTTCCTTACAGTGCTCATGCTCTGTAGGGACTACACTCTCTTGTTGTGCCTGGGGAAAAGCAGCTATGCACAGACAGCGGAAGCTTCCCTGGGTGAGTAGCAGCCACATGGGAGCAAGTGTATCTTTGCAGTAAAGGCTTTTCTTGGGGATGGCTGCTGCATCCCATTTATGCTGTGAGCTAGCTCCTTTTGGCCAAGGAAGGAACGGTAGAGGAGGCATCTGCTAAAATGTCCACTGACATTTCTAAAGTGCTCTTGAATTTTGTATGTGGGACAAAAGCGGGTTTCTTTGCAAACTGCAAAATCCATCCTCCACTGTTGACCCAGAAATCAAGAACTTTCCCAAGCATTAGCAAGCAGATTTCATTTGGAGAAAGCAAATCACAATGTTGAGCTGACCACAAAACAGCTCATAGAATCAAAGAGTTGCTGACACTGAAGAACACCTTTAAGAATTGTCTCTTCCAAGTCCCCATGCAAGCAGGGTCAGATGAAGCAGGTTGCTCAGATCACGTTCAGTCAGGTCTTGACTATCCATAAGGGTGGAGACTCCACAGCTTCTCTGTGCAGTCTGTGACAGTGGTTGATCTCTCATATTGTTAAAAAAAAAGAAAGTTTCTTTAAATTTAAACAAAATGTCATGTAGTTCTTTTTGTTCCTATTTCCTCTTGTCCTATCTTTGGGCAACACAGATATGAGCCTGTCTCCAGCTTCTTTATCCCAAATAAATAAATATAAAATCAGGTATTTATGCAGATGGATAATTTCCCCCTGAGCCTTGCCTTTTACAGGCTGAACAGCCCCACCTCTCCAGTCTTTCTTTGTACACCAGATATCCCAGTCCCTTAATAATCTTTGTTGCTCTTCAGTAGTGTCTCTCTGCTATGGCCACATCTCTTGTATCAGGGAGCACTGGATCCAGTATTCCAAATGTGCTCTCAACCTGCTGGCAGCAGTCCTTCCAATGCAGCCCAGTATGGCATTGGCTTTCTTTGACACAAGTTCACGTTGCTGGATAATGGTCAGCTTCATTGCCTTCTAAGACTCCCAGGTCCTAGCTGCAAACATGGTTTCCAGCTGGTTAACCCCCAGCCCGTACCGGAACATCAGGTTCTACCTTCCCAGGTACATGATTTACCATTTCTTTTTGTTGAACTTCATGAGGTTCCTGTTGGCCCAGTTCTGCAGCTTTTTGAGATCCTTCTGAAAGGCATTACAACTATCTGGTCTATCAGCAACTCCTCACCATTTTTTATTTTCTTCAAACTAGCCAAGGGTGCAATTGGCCCCACCAGCAAGGTCATTAATGAAAACATTGCATAATACAGGAGTCAGTATGGACCTCTGGGATGGACAATTGGTGACCGGCCACCTGGTGGCAGCCATGCTGCTGGTCACAGCCTGCTGAGCCCAGGAGTTCAGCCAGTTCTCAATCCTCAATCTCCTCCTCACTGTCCACTCCTCTTCTAGTCTGTACTTCACCTGTTTGTCTATGAGGATGTTATAGGAGATGGCATAAAATGCCTTTTTTGAAATCCTCAACATGCCCTGTTCTCCCTTTGTTTACCAAGCCAGTCAGCTCATCATGTGAGACCTCAGGGTGGTCAGGAATTATTTCCTTTTCATAAATCCATGCTGACTATTCTCAGTCCCCTTCTTGACCTTCATTGGTTTGAAAGTAGCTTCCAGGAGTATTTTCTCCATCACCTTCCCAGGGACTGAGGTGAGGCTGACCAGCCTTTAGTTATTGGTGTCTTGCTTCTTGCCCTTCTTGAAGATGGGAGTGATATTTGTTTTCTTCCAGTCTTCAAGAACATCCGTGTTCTGAAGACCACAGTCCTCAGAAGATTACTGAGAGTGTTCTTGCAATGTTATCAGCCAGCTCCCACAGCACTCATGGCATGCATCCCATGAGGTCCCATGAAACTGTCTGTCCAGTGTATCTGAATGTTTCCTAACTTGATTCTCCTCCAGCAAATCTTCCTTGCACTGGACTTTCCTAGGCTTCTTAGGGTCCTGGAATTCCTGAAGGCTAGTCTTACCAGCAAAGAATTTAGCAGAGAAGGCACTGAGTACCTCAGCCTTTTCCACACCCTTTGCTACCAGGTGCCCCATCCCATTCAACAACAGTCCACATTTTCCCACTTGTCAGGATGGACTGTTCTTGAGCTTGGAGGAGGTAATGGTTGAATAGCAAACAGCTCTTCTGGACTCCTCTCCAGGACCATCTCCCATGGGATTCTTTCAAGCAGAATACTGGAGAGTCCAAGCTCTACTCTCCTGAAGTCCATTCTTGCAGTCTTGATTTTTGCCTTGTTCTCCTTTTTCAGGACCATGAACTTCACCATCTCATGAACACTGCAGCCAACTCCGCCTCTGACCTTCACACCCTTAACGAGTTCTTCCTTGTCTGTAGGTAACAGGTGCAACAGAGCACCTTCCTTCATCAGCTCCCTGATCATTTGTGTGAGGAAGCTGCTAGTGCACTGAACAAACCTGAATAGCTTGTGTCCTCCTGCATTGCCCTTGCAGCAGCTATCAGAATGGTTATACATCTCTCTTAGATGTATTAACTATTTCAAGTGATTGCAATGTTTTAAAACCATGCTAAAAAATTCCTCTGCTTCTAATTAGGATGATTTAAATGAAACCTCTTGCAACAACTTTTAGGCCTTGCAATTATTGTAGATGGATATTCTGGAGCACATATTTGGAAGAGTTCTGGCTACAGAAGAAAACATGATGTGTAATATATATTAGAGTTTCTGGGAGCTGACAGGTGTGGTTTTTGCTGTACAGTGAGACTTCAAAGTTCACGTGCTTAAGGATAACAAGCTCAGACCTCTTTCACAAGTTGTAAGACCTGCTTCCCTTCTACAGCTCTGCCAAGCAAGGAGTCATAATGAAGATCGAGTAGTGAAGAGCACTGGGATTAAACATTCATCAATGAGGATAGGTGTGCAAATCAGGAGACATAAAAATTAGTCACAGAATAGTTAAATCAAAATCTTCAATGACCTTCATAATCCTTAACTGTCAGCTGTTAATATAAATCTAGAAAGGCACTCACAGCACTTGCAATGAAATAAAACAGAATGGCTTGTCCTCAGTCAAAAATATTCCAAACATTCTGAGTGTTCTTCAAGTTATTCAAGTCCTATCACCTCAGTATGCAGTTTGTTCTTAGTCTTTTAAGGGTTTTGTGATGAAATTGTGGTAAACAAGCTCCCCTATTGCTTTGCAGTTCATCACAGCGCAGTTGGAGAGTACCTTCAAAGTTTATTTTTTGTTTCAAATAGCATATGCTAGAAAGCATTACCACATGCATGTGCATTATTAGTATGATTAGCTGGTGAAAGTCAATTACTGGTGCTTCAACTCAAGGGCTTTCTCAGTTCTTGAAGGGATTGCTAAATTCAGGCCTGAAATATAATTAAAACCCCTGGAAGTTGATTTTTTTTCAGGACTGGATGAGTAGTTGGGTGATTTTCTATTGAGTCATAATTTCACTAATTCTCTGAATCCTTTCTTGAATCCCAAGTATTTTCTTCATTTTGTTAAGAAGAAAGGCATTTAGAATTGAAGAATTCTTCAATTTATTGATCAGCATCTGGTTTATTTCTATTATTTGTGTTATGGAAAGTTCTGTATATGTAGATCTATATGCAAAGGATTATTTTGTTTAGATGCATTGGCAATGATGTTACACATTCTTAAGGGAAATTTTGACTGGCTTCTGTGATGCCAGTGGTGTAAAAGAAAAGCTGGGTCAGATAATACAAAAGGGGCACTTGGATTCACTCACATCACTCGCACAATCAAAGGAAATTTTTTGCTAAATCTTTTCATGCTCTTTGAAGAGAGACAACTTAAAGGTATGTGAAAACAATTAGATATCTTGCACATCTTTCCATTATCAAAATAATTAATGGGGTACCATTACTGGATTTAATTACTAGTTAGCATGGGTCTTAGAACTGTCACACTCTGAATCATTTGGCTTGAATATTTAGCATTTGAAGCTAGAATTTTAATGCATTTCTGATATTCCTAATATTTTCTACCTGTGATAAATTAATATTTATACTGCTTATTCCTTACCTAAGGCAGAGAAGATGGCAGCAGCCCAAAACATTTCTCCCATTAAAGCTGGAATAAACAGTAGTCCTCCCATCCTTTTTCCATAAAGCTGCTGAAAAGGGTCTAGCATTGTCACATAGCCTCTGGATCGCATGGGTTTTGCAAAAAAAAGGCCACCTGCAAAGAAAAACAGTATAAGACACCAGCTGCAGTTTAGAAATGCATTGCTATTAAGGCATAAAACATTCATTGTCAGTTAAGGGTACAAAAATATCAGCAATAGTGGGGTTTTTTGTTTCTTTCTTTGTTTTTTTTTTTTAAGTAAAAAGTACAGTTAAAATATCCTTGGGAACTCTTACCTTGCAACTGTCTACAGAGTTACTTAAACACACCCTTCCTGCCCATTAATACCTATAGTCTGATAATAAAAAATAATTTTTTTTCTTATTTTGTCTGGTTCAGTTTATGTAATCTGCCATTATGGATGCTGTCGGAGTTTTGTCTCATTTTGCATCAGCCTAAGGTAATGCCTTTCTACCTAATCCTGTTGATTCTTAGAGCAGAATCCAGCATGAATTTTCATATAGCCCTACTCTAAAAATAAAACTGTCTGAGATTCCTGGATCAGAAGTACAAGTTCACATGTGGTTTAGTGTATATATAGCAAAACTGATTCTTTCAGGACAATTCAAATTTATTATGTATGCTTAAAACAACCTTATTACACCTTCAGGGTAGGTCAGAGGTGGTCTGGGCTCTGCAGATGTCAGTTTTCCTGAATATTTGTCATATGCTTATTTCACTTATGTATGCTCAGGAATTTTGCTGTATCACAATTCTGCTCCACCTGGCTTGTATATTGGCTGGATATGTACATAAATGTGCAAAGGCCTCCCCTCCTAAAATTCTTTCTGGCTTGGGAAAAAAAAAGGACATACCTCAGTAAAGCTGAAAGATCACTTGTATGGAAACCTGTTTAATTGAGATCTGCATGACTATAACTAAATAGACTTCTACCATAGTAAAACTGCTATATAAGGTACAATAAAAGAAATGGTAAACCAGTCAGTTCCCAATAAAATCTACTGTATATTATTTGGCAACCCTTAATTAGGTTCTTTATCACAAGATATGTAATGTATTCATTCTACTGTGCAGAAGATTTTCCACATTTCTATGTATTGCCTTTTATCACTCATATTTCTTCATTACATTAGGTTCCCTGAACAGAAGGTACTGGCTTAACAATCGTAATTTATACTGCTTATGTGAATACTGCCTTTAGGTGGAAAGATGCAGAAACTCTCCACCATTTTTTACTGTACTTGGATTAGTAATGGATCCCTTTGCTATTCTACTTGTTATGCCATAATTACAATAGACAATTAAAAAGAAAAACAAAGAGTCACTGGTATTATAATCTATTATGGTGTTCAAACACCTGTCAAAAGAAATAGGAGATATTGCAACTTTTTAACCTAAATTGATTGAATAATTAGGAAAAGTGGTATGGAGAACAACACTGAACAAACAGGGAGATTATATCAATTTTAAATCCTTACAGTCTGAAGCAATAATATTTCTCCTAGAATTTTATTTATAATTTTGATTATTTATTTTTCTAAAGAAGAATAAGTAATCCTTCACTCAAAACTTCATGTACAGCTCATGCCTACAGAAACACTTTCCTCTCTGTGCTCAGCAGAGAGATCTATGGTCCCATGATACAGACTTCTTTACTCTGCAGTGGCTATTGTAATTTCCAGGAAAACAAGTCTGGATATCTAAAACCAGCCGGAAATGAGCAGAGAGGCTAACTCAACCCCATCTGGGCTACTGTTAATTTGTGTCAATTCTACAAAGGCTGAGAGTCAGCAAGACGCTTGTGACTACAGTCCTAACAACCAGTTAATGACATCGATGGATCATGACCATCATGACCTCATAATGACATAAACTGGTCTCTGGCCAGACAACCACTGTTATTATTTTCTTTACAGGAAATAGAGCTGTTCTCAGGGATGGGAACCACTATCGGAACTGGAGCTGGCGTACACATGCCAGAGAAGAACATCTACGATGGGTAAAGCTTCTGCCTGGGAAGAAAGGATAACCAGGACAGGCCATTGGAAAGCATTTTCAAGGGAAAAAAAAGAATGAGGAAGAAAAACAAGCGTATAGGAAGAAAAAAAAATACTGTGAAAGAAGATCTGGATAAGCAACCAAAGGAAATAAAGGGACAGATTAGGTGGGAAAACCATGAGAAAAGACTCAGAATAGACTGAGAGGTCAAGTAATATTGGAAAAGCTAGTACATTGGGCACATTAAAGCAACACGAAAAAAAGAATCTTTTTTGTAACAACATGCTTTTTAAACACTTGCATCATTACTGCAGCATTAAAAATTATAATGCTGTCTGTGTTTTACACTCTGACCTTGCATGTGGCAGGATTGTGTATTTGCATTTCGATTTGGAGTTTCGTACTGCAATTAAGAGGACGCATGGTCCAATTTTAAGGAAATAATCTGGTTATACTACAGACTTCCTACACAAAATTAAAAAAGTTACATAGGTTCTTGGTGAAGATCTGTATAAGCACTTTCCTAACCTGAAAGGATATCTGTCCTTCTTGAATTCCAAGATTATAGGTGCCCTGATTCCTGGGCACCTAGGTCATGATACAGATCATGTAGGCATTCAAAGAAAACCCAAATATATAAAACTTGGTATATGTAATTTAAATACTCCCTCCCCCCCAAGGACAATATGGTTGTAATAATCAAATAGGTCTTGACAAGGAGTCCAGGAGACTTAAGATATCAAACTATTTATAGCTATCTTCTGTTTTCTTTGCAATAGCTAAATGTACTGGCAGAAGGGATCCAGTTTACGGCAACATCCTTTTATCAGACCCTAGTTGTTTCATTTGACATAATGAACTTTTCATCAGAACTGTTTAAACTGAGAAACTATTAGTTTTAGTCTTTGCTTACCTAAAATCAGGCTAAGGGAATATCCAATAGGTGCCTGAGCCCAAGCTAGACCGTAGCCTGGGACATACACAGCTTCTGCTGTTCCATTGATGTAACCACCTCCTACCCATGTGGCTGAAAAGGAAGAAATGGAAAAGTCTTTAATGTACACAAAGAAAGAAAAGCTCATACATTGTATAATGAAATTGTCATTACTTATAATACTGTTATTTTTTATTACTTGTACTGTACAAGTGCCAGGCACAGCATCATTCTATAAAAGGCAGCCCTAATTTGAACTTACAGCTTAAGCATATGAAAAAAGAAGTCAGATGGAACTGAGACAATCATCAAAGTGTCTAAGTCTCTGTATAGTCAGTGAAGGTGTGAGGGCTGAGTCCCCCACCATTTATTTTCCATTACTATTCTCTCTGTGTTAGTCCAAATGAAGGAGAGATGTAAAGGGGAATCTGAAGAAGAACAATAAACACACAGTGAAAAAGTCATCCCAGCTAGAAAAACTCAAAGAATTTAAATTAGGCAAGAGTTTAATGAATGTGTAATTTATTTGGCCCTTCATGAAAAAAAATTGCCCTTATATTCAGCCCTTGCTGAATATTAAAATTGTTGTTACATGAAGTACATTCAGTAAACCCTGAGATGTCTAAATATTTCTCTACAGGGTTGTGTTGCTTTTTTGTTGCTCTGTAAATTCTAAACAGTGAGTAATTTTTTTTTGTTCTTCCTGAAGACATATTCATGCTATCTGCAATATTTCTGATTTTCTCTCTCTCTCTAAAAAGCAGTCTTTTTAATATACCAATCACTGACACTTAATGAATTGATTCTTTGCCTTTAAGGGAAGTTTCTATACTTGACAATTTGGGATCTACAATATGTATGAGAGAAAAACTCCAACATAGAAATGTATTGCAATTACATCTGCAAAAATATTTCATAACAAACCACATAATAAGGTTTATCTCTTCCTGTTTGCAGATTCCATGCAAAAATTTTTGATAATGTCTAATGTATACTGGTAAGTTTTAAGAATCTAGGTTTGTAGTTTGAACAAAGGCAGACAGATCATTACAAGTCCTAGCTTTCTGTAATTCTGTTTTGATTTGTGTCAGAAACCTTTACTTTCTCATATAAAAGTAGCTCAGGCTTTCTTTGTAAAGAGTCACAATTTTTAGAAATGTATTTTCCTTAAACATTCTTCACAATTTTCCCATCATCCACCATCAAACAAGCAAACTTGATTTTGTGTTTAAGACAAAAAATTGGACAGAAACACAAATGAAGAAAATTAAATAAAAATCCCTCAGAAATTTAATTAAAATCTAAATTACCACTCTTTTCCACTTAACTGTGATATTTCCCAAGTAATACCAGAGGGTATTTTGCTGAATTTCACCATGGCTTTAGAAACAAAGATCTCTAGGGATGGGGCATTCACAACTTTCCTGGGCAACCTGTTCCAGTGCTTCACCACCCTCACACTAAAGAATTTCTTCCTAATATCTATTTAAATCTATTCTCCTTCCATTTAAAACCGTTACCCCTCATCCTATCACTACATGCCCTGATAAAAAGTCCCTCTCCATCTTTCTTGTAAGACCCCTTTAGGTACTGCAAGGCTGCTACGAGGTCTGCACAGATCTCTCTCTTCTCTGGGCTAAACAACCCCAACTCTCTCAGCCTGTCCTCTTACAGAGGGTGCTTCAGCCCTGTGATCATCTTTGTGGCCCTTCTCTGGACTCATTTCCACAGGTCCAAATCTTTCTTACGCTGGAGACCCCAGAACTGAACATGTTAACCCAGGTGGGGTCTCATCAGAGAAGAGTAGAAGGACCTGCTGGCCACACTTCTTTTGGTGCAGCCCGGGATGTGATGAGCTTTTTGAGTAGTGAGTGCACATTGTTGGCTCATATTCATTTCATTTACCAGTATCAAGTTATTCTCAACAGGATTGTTAATCCACTCATCAACCAGCCTGTAAGCATGTTTGGGTTTGCCCCAATCCAGGTGGAGCACCTTAGACTTGGCCTATCACAGGCCCATCTTCAAAAGCCTGTCCAGATCCCTCTGCATGGCATCCCTTCCCTCTAGATTATCAACCACAGCACTCATTTTAGTGTCATCTGAATTCTTGCTGAGGGTGCACTCAATCCCACTGTCTGTGTCCCCGACAAAGATGCTGAATAGCACTGGTCCCTGTAGGAACCACCGAGGGCCACCACTTGCTACTGATCTCCACCTGGACACTGAGTTGTTGAATGTTAAGTCTGTGACTACCTGGGATGCCTACTGTGTCTCAAGCAGCACAGTCTTATGGCATAGGTGGTAAACACCTCTATACAATATTAAAAGTAAATACTTAGGAATTATATTTGTCTCCTTCCCTGAAAATGCATGAACACGAATTCTACATAAATGGTACTCAGTTATAGATGGGGAATAATATCCTATAGTCAACAACAGATGTCCAGCATTGCTGCAGCTGTGGTGCAAGGGTGCTTCAAGTCCCAGCAATGATTTGGGCTTGCTACAGAGGTGGCAGTTGTTTTGTCAAGTGCACCTGGATGCTATGCCTAGCTGCCTCATTTTCTTTTGGAGAAGAAAAAGTCAATTCCCTTCTGTGTAATGTTGCAGAGGTCACTGCTTTCCCCTGGCTGGGGACAGGAACAGTGTCCTGCAGGCAGATATTACATAAGGCGGCATGGAGAATTCAGCCTTTATTTTTAATTTCTTGATTTCTGGATTGGAGTTTGAAAAATAGCTGCTGATCAATTTTTCTGTGCACATAACTGTACTGAAACATCTGTCAAGGACCACAGAGCTCTACAAAGGTTCTATATGTCTTCTTCTGAGGGGGTGAATGGGTAGTCAGCACATATATTGACATAAATAAATACATTAGAAGTAGAATAATGGGATGGGATTTCAACCTGGGATATTAATATTTTGATACTCAGTTTGCTAAGCCACAATTTAAAGTTAGTTTAATACCTTTATTTTTGGTGAAATTCTTTTTTTTTATCATAAATTGGACAAAAGGAATATAATGTTTAGTAATCTGTGGAAGCATTCATGTGGTAATCTATTTTAATCTTCTCTTTGTCTGCCATCTGAAGAACCAAAAAACACAGCAAATACCAACATCCATTTAAAACATGCACCCTATCAGACAAATACTGAGGATGTGAAGTGCAATTCTGCTCCTAGTTCTTATGAGGCACACAAAAGTTGATCTCAGACTTCTTTACATATATTGATATATATTAGAAAACCAGATATTTTGGCACTTCTTTGGGAATGATCCACCGATTGTCTGACCACTCAAATTATTTCATAAACTCATCAAGTTCTGTAAAACGAAAATCCTGACCCAAGGATTACAACAAAATATAATGCTGTAACGTTTATTTTTTTTTTCTTGTGGAAAGATACATAGGTTTATCCAACTAAAATGAAAAAATTACATCAATAGATTATTACCTTTTGGGTCATGTTTGTGAGCATTTGGTCACGTTATGTCAAATATTTCCTTTGGGTTTTAAACTCAATCACCAAAATCAAAGTAGACTCAAGTTTGTTGCAGTCTTAATTCTTCTTAAGAATTTAATTCACAAAATAAGGAAACCTAATATTTAATGCAACATTTTATCTATAATTATGTAAAAATCATACACATTAAATGCATATCTTCTATGGTGAGGTGTTAGTTCATTTTAATATGAGCTGCTGTGATCCATCCACAATTCAACCTTTTCGCTCTTTCTATTTTCATAGTTGCAGACACACTCAACTTTCAACAGGCTTTGTGTTCAGTATTTCAGTAGCTAGTTGATACAGCTACTTCTTCAGGATCATAGAGTATATTTAAATATATCCATAGCTGTTACTCATAGGTAGTGCTTTAAGATTTTTCAATGCTGTTTAGAGAATCAACTACAATTACTCAGGAATCTTGAGTTTGATGCTTATGCTCCGAATTGTATTTCAAATTTATAGGCTAAGTGCTGTCATCCTCCCAACCAAATAGTCCTGGAAACCTTTACTGCTTCTGTAGCCAATATCCATGGAACATTGTAGTGTTTGTCTCAGGAAAGACAGAATTAGGCCTTATCTCAAGGTGCTTCACGTCCATATAAACAATATTCTTTCTGGGGATCTTTAAAAAAAAAGTCTTGTTTTCCTCTTTCAGGGTGGGTTTTGCTTTTTAGTTCATATTTAGATGATTAAACCAGTAGAATATAAAGACAATGTTGGGATACTCCTGTATCTTTGTTTGCAAGGTGCCATTCTGCATCTATCATTTTTTAAGGAGCAAAGTATACTCTTGAATAATGTGACCATTTTGTAAAAATTATAAATCTGTAAAAAATATTGCATATTTTGATCAGCTTACTTTCATAATTGTTTTATTATGACTTTACAAATTGAGTGTCCCAAACACCCTCACTGAAACAAAACTCGGACTAACTCCTGGTTCAGGAGATTTGTGCCCACGTCTAGCTTCATGTGCCAGGCGTGGCTCCCTGCAACTGAAAGTGCAGTTTAGTTGCCATTTCAAGCTTTAATTGCCATATTTAATGAAGGCATAGGAGAGAAAGCGTGTCAACCCTGACAGTATAAAATCCATGACAGTTTTAGCTACACAAAGGCTTTGGGATAAGTCAGACGTTCTACTGCAGAGATGAGATACTATGCCATCCCTAAAACTTCCACGAAACAGAACAAGCATGTGTGGATGTGAATTGTGGTGTCTGTAGTAATTGCCTGCAAATAGGAAGCCTCAGTTCAAGTCTCATCTGTGCTTCAGCCGTTATGCAAAGTGCTCTTTTAAAATAGGATTAAGGAGACCAGAATTTGTGTATTCTTCATGCAAAACCATTAGTTATAACCACTTCTGTGGGGTGTGCCTTGTTTTATCTCCGCTCCCTCAATCTAATGTTTATTGTTTTGTGAAAACCAATATTTCTGCAAAATATTTTTGTTTCAGTGCTCTTGAGAATATTTCATTCAGCAGAAAGCAGTCCGATCTGTTCTTGTTAGGAGTAATCTCATCATATCTTATGCTTCAGCAGCTGATGGATACGTGATACAGTAAATTATAGGAAAGTGCAAAAAGTAGAACTGACTGTATTCAAACTTTATTGACTTTTACAAGCATTCTTTACTCAATATCTAATATTCAGTCTTTGAATGAGCAAAATGCCCCTGCAAAAGGATGAGAATTTATCTAGATTAAAGAACGCAGAATTTTGGCCCAAGTTTTACGTGGCTCTTCCTTATTAAACAACTCTGAAAGCAGAGTAGGGAAAAGCTGCAAAACATAAATACAACTTGATAAATTCAATTTGACAATTGAAAGGGCTTTGCCTGCATAGGATTTAGATTAAAAAAAAAAAAAGACATGATTAAAAATTCAATAACCTAAATAAAAATAGTGCGCTAATTTACTGTTCTTATAATACATTTTTGTTCCAATACCATAATGTAAGTTTTGAGATTTTGGACTGCATTGTGAACATCTTATTTACCCAGGGAAGGCAGCTGGTTTGACTGGCTCTGGGAAGCCAGACAGCACTGTTCACAAAATTAGTGAAGAACTCTTCATTCACCTAGGCTTTTCTTACTGATACTACTATTGATAGTAATGTATTATTTTTTCAAATTGCTGCAAAAGAAGCTGAAAGAATCCACAAAGTAAGTTTGCTGAAATGTGTAGAATTATGAGTTTGGAATCACAACAATTTTCTTTTAGAAAGTTGATTGATGTTGCACACCCTCCTCCCCACCCCCCCAGTCTTTTTCCCTATAAACTTGGCGTTACTCAGATTAAACAAAACCAAAAATAACGCACAAATTTGGATGGCTTTAACAACAATAATTTAATACTTATTAATCTATACAAATTCCATACTTCTGTCCTGAACATATCTGATCCACAGATAAATACGGAAGCAATGAACACTAACATTAATATATTCTTCCTGTATGATTTACAAATATTTGTTGTTTTGTACAGATGCTACATTTGGCTGTTCACTAAACAATTAGATAAAAAGTATATGTATTTTCTCCATTTTGCATTATTCAAAATGCAGGTTACACTTCATTCAGATGGAAAACTGACAAGTTATACACTGGCTAAGAAAAAAAAAAGGAGTGTTTTTTACATACCGGTCATTGTAAATCCACCAACTAGCAAGCCAATGTCTCTTCCACCGACTATAATAGCTTCGCTGCGGTCTCCTTCACTGCTAGTGTTCTTGGTTTTCCAAGCAGCCCATATCCCTACTGCCAGGATAGCCAGGTAGAAGACAACTATGGCCACCAGTCCCTCCACATGGAAAGCCATATTGAAGTCCCAACTGTTTCTTTTATTGCAATTTCATTAAGACCTCTGGAGAGAATACAATAATAGGTCTGCTTTTAACAAACCTGACTTTTAGAATCAGTGTACAAAACCCCCTCAGATGGTTATTCCAGTGAATTTATGAAATGACAATTTCAGGTGTAATTGAGATTAATGTTACATATGAATTAAAATGCCTGTGGAGCAACAACCACTGGTTGTAGCCTCTGATTACAAAGTGGAATGAATGATATGGCTGAAAGCTACACTATTCTTAGAAATCAGTTACTGGGCACTGGTTTTTTTTAGTGTCACCAAGTTCTCAGTATCTGGGAACTCTTCAGTCAAGGAATACTTTGGTACAGGGAATAGAAGAACTTGGTCATATGGACTAATACAAAAGTCTCTAGCTTGAAGACAAGCCACAAAACTGCTTTAAATTATATAAGAACTATGGATAAGTAATAGCTACAACAGCAAAATACATCTTTTACGTCTTTGTGTTGGAATGCTGAGTCTTTCCCCCCCTCTATCATCTCCCGTATTTTAAAATCTGCACTTTCTTTTTTGCAACATTCAATTGTCCAGCATGAAAAGTATCAGTCTATTCTCTCTCGCAATCTGAGAAGCAAACGGAGAGCTTACAAGCTGTCGGACGGCAGAAATGTCGAGGTATACGAACTACAGCGGGGGAGAACTCCCGAGCGACGCGGACAGCGGCTGCCCCGAAACCGCCTCTCCCAGAACCCCCCTCCCAACTCGGCTCGCCGCTCCGCGGTCGCTCCCGCAGGGCTGCGCCGGCGAGACCCGTCCACGCTCCCGACGGATCCCGCGGACCATCCCTACCTGCCGGGGCGCTCCGCGGAGGTGCCGCGCCCTCGTGCGCGGCCGCGCATCCCTCCCCGCGCCCGCGGCAGGACCGCCCGCCCCGCCGCCCCCCGCCTCGGCAGGGAAGGGTGTCCGCCCCGCCGCCCACCTGCGCTCCGCCGCCGCGCTGCCCGGCACCCCGCGGGGCACGGCCGCGCATCCCGCGGGGCGGTGTCGGGGACGAGCCGCTGGGCGCTTTGCCCCCCCCCGGGGGTTTCCCGCTTGCGGGGGCAGGGAAGTAGCAAAGGCAGGATCGTCTCTTTCCCCTCCGGTGGGGCGGTGCGCCGAGTGCTGAGGCTGCGACAGGGGGCTCGTGGATTAAAAAGAGGAAAAATCCCTTTATAAAGGAGGAGGGTTCAGTGGGGTGAGAGGACCGTGTCCGTCAGAGCTAGGGGGAGGAAGGGGGAAAGACGTCAGAGTGCTAGGGGACGCTGGGGGGAAGTAAGGATGACTCAAGGGAGACTGTCGTGTCATGGCAGGGAAGCAGGGTTAGGAAGTGGAACTGGGGTAAGAAAACAAAAGAGAATGAGGGGAGACAGGAGGGAACAGGATCATGCCAAACCAATGGGAAAGAGGAAGAAGAGAAAGGGCTGATCTAAAGAGATATACTGAAAAGAGAGGTGAAGGAAGGGGAGAGAGTGGAGGTACGGAGAGGGAAGGTGAGCTCTGTGCTCTCTTTGCCCTCCCTGGCACCCTTGTCGCTCCATGCCTGGGCCTAGCATTGAGCAAGTACCAAGCCAAGGCATGTCTATGAGAGGCTGGTCAGGACCATCTTTCCTCACAGCTCCCTTTCAAACATGGTTAAACATGCACCGTCTTTTCCCACATGCAGGACAGCTAGTTCTTGGGGAGTCTCCATTTTTTTGCCATGCCTGTCGTAAATGTCACCTGCAGAGCTACAGTAATACGAGCTTTCCTCTTATAGGACTCTTGCTCTCTGTCTCCAAATGATGCTGGACAATGAGCCTCTAAGTACATGTGCAAAGAAGACCCATATGTGCCCTTGCCCCAGTTTTTATGAAGGGAAGATCATGCTGAGCTGTAGCAGTCTCAGCTCTTAAGAGGCAGTTAACATGGGCCATTGGCTCATGCAAGTTGAAAAGCAGAAATGAGAAGCCCACAGGAGTACAAAATTGCTATTGACAAAAGAACTAATTTAAAGCAGAAAATATGAAGTCATGTTAGACTCAAGAGGAAAACCATAGTATGGGAAGATGTAAAATCAGAGAGGAGGAAGGTGGCAATTCAGGAAAGCTCAGCCCACTGCAAGAAACAACCCAAGGGCTGGCACTTTCCTGCATATTTGCCGACTGCCTGGCCAACCTGGCTGGCAGAGCGGCTTCATCTGCCTGGTCACGAACTGCTGAGCACATCACACCACGTTGGCCCCAGCCATTTATTACGTGCATCATGCACAATAAATTATGATTGCATACTCATAAATTGATTGTGCGCATAAGACTACTTTCAAGTCTGGGGTCAGTTGAAGGAGCCCAAATAAAGGTGGCCAAAGCATTAAAGGTTAGAAATGTTACTATTTTTGTCAGCCAAACTTGTAGTTTGTTAAGTGATGCCAGTGATGCAATGTTTGCTTTGGGAGAGCACAGTAGAAACCTCCTCCCAGTAAAAGGCAACTGAGACACTTTAGACACAGGTGAGCATAAAGGCATCACCTAAACAGAATTCCTGTCATAAGCAAACACCATAATGTAAATAAAGAGTAGAAGTCACACACCTTGGAAACGATGTTGAGAGTGTCTCAATTAGAAATAAACAAACAAGTTTCAGCAATTAAAATGTGATAGAAAATGCTTGGAGGCTAAAATGGATGTTAAATTAAATTCACATAAAGTTTTAATTAAGAAAGAAGTCATGACAGCACAAAGCATGGCTCAAGTCTGTCTGAGGCAAATTCAAAAATGTTGACCTATGGAAAAGAATCCTTTCTTAGATTAAATTCCAACTTTGATCTTCACTGAAGACTATAATTAATTTCTTGTGTCCTTAGTAGGTCATATTAACACTTGTTTATGGCACTGGAGTGGGGAAACTACTTTTTAAAAATAATTATTTCTAGAAAAGAATTAATTTTAAATTAATTACATTTTGAATTAATTAATCAAAACTAATCCTGAATGTCTATTATTTTTAATTTGTGTAGCCTCTTTGGACAAGTTTTGTCTCTTTGATACTCAAGAGTGGTTTGCAACCTTCCACCCAACAAGTCAATTGTGCTGACCAAGTTTTACCTTACATGTGTACTCTGCTCCTGTAGTTACTTAACTACAAATAAGTTAAATCATACATTCTCTCATGAGATATCCACTTAAACTATAGGTTCCTTGAGTTGATAAGGCCTTCGGTTATGAAATCATCTTCCCCTGGATGTAGCTGAGAAGGTCTGATACAATTATTTTAGTGAATATTTGATTTATTAATTTACTATCCCTTCTTTGCTCGTCCACTACTACTGTATCAGGTAGTTTTCTAATGCTTTCTTTTGGGAAAGAACCCTGCTAAACTGGATGCCTGCGTGCATTTTGCCAGCTGCACCCCAACAGCATCCATCACCCACAGCCGTACACAAAGCTCATTTCTCATGATATCTGAAGGTGTGCACAGATGAGTACCAGTAAATTTTATGGTTCTTGGGAAAAGATCTGCTTTGGTGCCAGAGATACTATATGCAACTGCAAGACAGAGTCCAAACTCCATTTGGACTGACTCCATTTCCAAAGAGAACTGCTGTTGAAACGCTTAGAACTGAGGTCATCTTTTCCAGGAAAGAAGTAGTTAATTGGCAATTTGTGGCTTCTAAAATAATTGTTCTTTATTTGAATATAATTTTCTTTTTTTAAAGGGCATAGATTGAAAATACATCTTCAAAAAGAAATCCTGAAACTTAGTTTTGTTTATATTTAAGAAAGGACACACTTTCCAGTGGAAGGTGTCCCTGCCCATGGCAGGGGAATTAAACTGAATGATCTTCAGGTCCCTTCTAACCAAACCATTCTATGATTCTATGAAAACTGGCATGGATGCGTGCATTAATCACATTTCTTTATACAGCTCTCAAGGAGTGTTTTGTGGAAAGAGTGGAAATTAGCTTTCATGTGCAGTACTTGTCTTTTAAGCAAAGATATTACAGTATGTCCAAAAATTTATTGAGCCTACATATGATTATTTGGGCTCCCTCTGAGTAACAGTAAATATTTTTGCATTTTTAAACCTATGTTTATCACTGAGACTTTACTTAGAAAAAGGTCACCCGGGATACAACTCATGGAGTTGATAAAGATATTTGTTTAGAGACAGGTAGCCTAAACTGTCATCCAGTTTCTTTTTTTCTAATGCCTCCTGCTAGTTGGTGTCTCAGAGGAGTTTGAACAATAGGAAATGTAAGGGGCACAATGAAGCCTAATCCCAATGAACATTTATGCGAAGGACTGTAATTCACAGTATTAAACACAGGTTTAAGTCATGATGTAGAACATCTAAGCAATAAATATGTTTATGGCTATAGAGATATTTTATGTATATATTTACTTATATATTTTACCTTTGAGGTAAAATTCTAATTTCTCATAGATTTCTATGTTTAAAATTTTCAATGTGTAATTTATGCATTTTATGAGACTGGATTACAGAGTTGCTTAAAATCACACTAGCTTTCTTAAGAAGAAAACCAACCAACTAACAACAACAAAAACAAACCCAGTGTTTTGATGTTGCGCCCTTAACAAAAAAGCTTTTACTACAGGTTAGTTTAAGGCCTATACTAAAAACTTTCTTGAGACTGATGCTACAGAAAAGTTTGTGGTAGAATTATTCTAAAAAAAGGGCCTCTCGATCAATTTGTAGTTTTTGGGGTAGTATCCATCTTAGATTCTTTCTGCAATTTCTCTATTAACCATGGAGTCCCCAAAGAAATGATTGATGCTCAACAGCTCAAAAAACCCCCATCCAGATGAGAACTCTTTTGGAAGATATATTTGATAGGTATTAACAGTCTCCGGTTATCTTGCAGAAACATAAGGCTGCAGTTCTGAGCTTTTAGGGTTCCAGATGGTGTAGATCACTGATGTGGCTCGTTTCATAGTAAACTGGAAAAAGTGTGAAAGAAACAGCTCTTTTTTTCCTATTGTGGCAAATGTTACGTGTGACATAATTTTTAATACTGTGCTTTACATACTTCCTGTAAGTTTGTGGTATAAAACAAACAGAAATTCAAAGTAAAACAGTGAAGAATCTAAAGATTAGTACTTAAAAGCATAAAAAAAGCAGAGTTGAGACTGTGCATGAAATCTTAATACACTCTTCTTATCCATGTACTTTTTGAGTCTTTACCTGCATGATCATGTGCTAATTTTTCCTTGAGATACCTGTCTCTTCAATAAGAGTTAATCTTCACTTTTTCTGTTTATATTCCTCATTAATTATGTGGCCTTACAACTACACTTTATTCAAATTTCAAAGAAAACAAAACTGGTGATTTTCTCTAGGTATTTTTGTGGTGTAAAGTATTAGTGCTTCACAAATACAGATAATTTTATCTACAGAGCACATAAGGGAATAGGTGGCATTTTTGTACAGCTTTACATATTTTTATATATTTAAAATATAGCTCCAGTCAATTTCTGTTACTGCTTTATGCAAACCTAAGAAGCAACTAGTTGGGGTTTTTTTTCTTTCCTTTTTTTTTCCTCCCTGAAATTCTAAAGAAAAGAAAATCAATATTCAATCTAAGTCAGACATGTAGCATGAAAAATTTCAGCCTGTAGCCTGGTGCCTGGCAA